TACAAAAATTGCTGCCATTTGCAACAATCTACCTTTGTGAACAAGGCAATATGGATAAGAGCACAGGAATGTATCTATAATTGCTGGATTCCACAAACATTCAGCTTTCATATGCATATATTGTATTCTTTCTTTCTATCTATTATAGTTTTCGAGTAAATCAATGTGAAAACACTGCTTTTTCGAACGTTCTAATTTCAATTCTACAACTTTGAACGCGTATTACAGCAATATGGATAATAGCACAAGAATATATCCATATACTACATTACAACTTTGAACGCGTATTACAGCAATATGGATAAGAGCACAGGAATGTATCTATATTTGCTGGATTCCCCAAACATTCAGCTTTCATATGCATTTATTGGATTCATTCTATCTATTATAGTTTTCGAAATCAATGAAATGTGAAAACACTGCTTTCATACATATATTTATTCATTCTATCTATTATAGTTTTCCAGTAAATCAATGAAATGTGAAAACACTGCTTTTTCGAACGTTCTAATTTCAATTTTTCAACTTTGAACGCGTATTACAGCAATATGGATAAGAGCACAGGAATGTATCTAACTTTAGCAGATATTAGGAAAATTGCTCACTGCTACTAATATTCGCGCCTCCCCTTAGACTAATCCACACCTCACAGTTTGGAAAACGCTGCCGTATGGAGTTAACTATATGCAAACGAACAATTCTCACCTGCGGCACCTATTGAGAAAGTTCATCATCAATCTCAACAATTTCAAGTTATTCAAATTTAAACGCGATGAAAATGAATTAGATGAAACGTTTTAAATCGTAAAATTTATTGCTTTTTCTCTCTCTCTCTCTCTCATAGTATATATAATATATCTGTAGTTGCTTCTTATATTTTTTTTAATTTAAAAAATTAATAATAATTGAAAAAAAAAAACATGTATTTGTTTGTTTGTTCTTTTCGAACTTAAAATTAATGCACTTATAACAATATATTCTTTTTCTTTCTGCATCTTTCTTATAGATAATATAAATATAAAATTTATATATATATATATTTTCCTTTCGGGCAAAATCACATGCGGCGGCTTCGTTTTGTTTGTTGTTACATGACGTAAACCTTCTCCACCTTCTTAAACGGAAACTTCTCTTTAGTCTTCGGACAAACCACTTGTCCGTTGTTGTCTTTTGCCATCTGCTCCAAAGCCTTAGAAAAAAGAAAAACAAATTGGATTAGTTGTAATGATAATTATGCTTATTTGATATTTCTCACTTGCTCTCCATAGATATGGCCATTTGGTAACATCATCGGTTGATTGTTCTCGTTCAACGGTAATCCGCTTATGTGACAGTACAATCTGGATTGGGAGCAGTGAGCGAACGGCAAGACCTCTGCCAATTGATTCAGGTATTTCTGGCAGACCGGACAGGCGGGGTTTCTGTTCTCGCAATTCTCTGTGTAGCATTGCGGCGTCTTGAGGGCGGAGAGTCCCGCCTGCAGAGCGACTGTGAACACCGACTGACTGGCCAACTGGAAGAGTCTGTAGTTCTCCTGTCTGAACTGCTCGATCAGGACGTCCCATCTCTTCACGTCGAACAGCGATTTGTAAGGTGCGAGTTCGGTGTTGATGGGGAAGGCGAGAAGCGCCATCACCTGCTGTATGGTGATCAGATGTTCCTCCTCGAAGCTGGGAAAGTACTTCCTCGAATGCTTGATAGCTTCCATCCTTCTGTCGCCGCGTATCAGCTCGACGAACTCCTGCACCCTCAGGTTGAATTCCATGTTGGACTTGAGCTTGCGCAGCTTCGATCTGTTGTCATGGCACCATTGCAGACATTTGTGCGTCTCGCGACCGGCGAGCGTCTTCTCGACTTCACGCGACGTCAGGAAGATGTCTATGTTGGTCAGGTCTTTGATGTTGGAGCGATCGGCCAACGTGATCGCGGCGTTGTAGTATCCGTTCCTGAGGAAATACTCGACGAGCATCCGGTCCAAACGCTGACGACGCCACTGATTCAAGGCACCCTGCGAGACGACGCCCGTCGCCGACGTCGTCCCGTGCTCCTTCAGATGTTCGATTCGCTTCTTGCAGACACTGGTCGCCTGCAGTTCCTCCCCGATGCTCTCATCCGCCTTCCTCTTCAACACCTGCAGCTTCTCCACCATCCCACCGAGCAGCTTCGTGATGTCCCTGGTCTGCAGGTTGCCAGTCGAGATCTCATTTTCTATTTCCACAGCAGCCTGCTGCACATGAGAGACCTCCCTGTCGAGGGTCTTCTGAGCTGTCCGGAACTTTTTGTTCAGTATCTCATATGGAACCTAAGAGCAATTATCAACGCAAGACAATTAGCCAAAACAATTTCAGTAATGAACGACTTACTTTTAACGTGGGATGTTCCAGCGACTTCACATCTGCCATCTTGTCCTGCCGTTTTTTTCTAAAATAAATATCAACAGTGTCGAACAAAAAAAACACAGCTGATTTGTGTCTAAATCTGACAGCGGTGACAACAAACGTGACCAACGTTGCAAGAAAACCTTATTGTTGGCAGCATTGAAAAACAGTTGTTCTTTTTTTGTTTTGCTTTATTTTGAAAAAGTGACGAGCGAATTGTCGGCGATTTTAAATGTACACGTGCGTGTATTTTATTAATAGATTAATTGCAATTGAAACAAGTGTGAATTCGGCAATCTATGGTGAGTTATTTGAAATTCCAATAAGATTTTCATGACTAAATATATATGAATTTCAGATGTACAGGATTGTTCTAACCATGTTATTTGTTGCTGTTGCCATGGGTGATGAGTGGATTGATCCCTTCAGCATGGATCTGGACAGGCCGGAGGAGTTGAACGCTTTGGACAGCAGTCAGTATCATGTCACGTTGGCCCACTACAAGAGATCCCTGAATCTGCTGCTGAACGCTCTGATATTCGACGAGCGTACAGATGGATACGTGGGGAAGATCACTGTGGATCTGAGCAAAGCCGACTACGATTTCGTCAAGGAGTTCGCGATGGGCGAATCGCCGGTGACGGATTTTAACAAGCTGGACGCTATTTTAACGCAAGTATACACCAGGAGCATCATCGACGATCTCTCCGATTTCTATCTCAGCTGGTCCGAGTATTTCCTCTTCGTGGTGACATCGCAATCATTCCTCATGTCTCTATTCGTCGTGCTCAGCTCTTCCATCGCGTACAGAATATGGAAGGCGAGGTTGAGTCTCAAGGAGATCATGAAGTGCATCTTCTTCGTGATGTGGGTCATCGATTTCATCTACCACTACTTCAAATTGGTTCAGGTATTTGCTGTTAATTTGCATTCATTCATTCTATAAAACTTTTGTGTTTTTTTAGCAAAACGAGATTGAAAAGATGGTCAATAGCATGAAATTCAAATCGATTCCAGCCGAGTGCAATCCCAGCGAACTCTCGACTTTCTCGTACGTCCGCACTAAGATGCTGGGCGACAAGACGTGCGAAGAGTTCATGAAGGCCAAATATTCCGACATCTATTTGAACGTGAATCCATTGAAGATTCTCGCCACGCAATTCGGGGATTTCATCAAGACGCCGGCGCCTGCGATCGGGGAGAGTCTTGGCTTGATGACTTCCAGTTTTATGGGTACGATATAATGCAGCGTTTTCCAAACTGTGAGGCGCGTCTCCCTGGGGAGGCGTGGACTAGTCTAAGGGGAGGCGCGAATATTATTAGCTATCTGCTAAAGTTTTATGTCTTTTATGAAATGGTGGGAGGAGGGGAGGCAAGTATCGATATATTATTGTGGTTTTAGCCGTTTGGCTGTAATTCGAGTTCAAATTTGAAAAAATGCTCG